TTTAACTTCTTTTGGTGATTTACCTTTTTGACTTGTTTGTTGATTAGTTTTTGTGTTGGTTTTATCTTGGACGGTTTCTCTTCCTCGTCTTCGTCGGGTATGATGGCGTCTGTCAGTTTTGATGCTATTAGTCCTCCTATTGACCCTCCCTTTGCTGTTCCTCCTGCTGTGGCGACTGCTTTGATGACTGGTTTGGATGATTTAAGGAAGTTCTTTAAGATGCTTCTACTGCTTGAAGGTGGTTCTTCGTCTTCTTGTATCCCTGCCGATGCTGTTGCTCCGACGGCGTCGTATGCCCCTTTGTTTGCCATATAGTGGTCTTGTGAATGACTTAAATTTGCTTGTTCTGCTACTCTCCTTTCGTTCTCTTCCCTCAACTCTGCCTCTCTGTCAAAGGACATCTCAAAGTCGCTGATGGCGTCGTCCCTCAAGTCGGTCATATCTTCAAAGTCAAGGTTGGGTGTTTCTTCTTCCTTCCTTGCGGTCGCTTCCTCTGCCATCTTTTTGAAGTTCATTTGCTGTAAGTCTGCTGGGTGGATGTTGTTTGTGTTCAGTGCTTGACCCTGCGGACTTTCGTGAAAATACCAAGCGTTCCTATCAAAGATTTTTCTGATGTCATTGGTTTTGAACTTTTCCCTGTCTATTTCCTTGATGAGTTCTGCGTAAGTGGGTATTCGTGTCAATCCCTGTTTTGCGTTGATTACTTCTGCTGTCATTGCTATATATTAATACTTTAGATTTTTATATTAATCTTGTGTATCGCCTCTCAACCACTGCTTATACTCATCAATTCTCTGTTTCATATTCTGGACGTTCGCCCCGTAATCTTCCAATCTGTGATTTTTCCTCACCTCCCTCAACCTTGTCATTTCGTTCTGTAGCATCTCATTCTCTTCCTTCATCCTCTGCTTTACTTGTAAGACCTTGTAGTCGTGCTCGGTGTTGTGATATTCAAGAAGACGCTTTAGGTAAAGATGATGGTTGTGAGTTGGCATCCTTGCCGTGTTGCTGTCGTTGTGGTAGTAGTGGTCATAACTACTATACACTTTTTTTCTTCTGTCTGGCATTTCGGGCGTTCCGCTCCTGTAGTTGGCACTTTTGTTTGAATGGACGGTTTGTCTTCTGTTGATGTCCTTGCGGACGTTTTCGTAGATGTCAGTTTTGTTGAGTTCCGTTTTCTGTTCCTTGATGTTCATTTTTATATATAATACTTTATAAAATTTTTGATGCTAAAGATTTCAATTTCTCTCTCGTCGCTTTGTTCTTTTCCTCTTTGGCTTTGTTGTAGGTGTCTCTGGCGGTCATTGCACTCTGTAGTTCTTCCTTCAGTTGCTTTACAAGGTCGTTTTTGAATGCTTCTGGGTCAAAAGGTGGTTTCGCCCTTGACGGTCTTACCCTTTTGGGCTTTGGCGCTGGTTGCGGTTTCTTTTCAACGGGTGGTTCAATTGTTTCTTCTGGTTTCTCCTCTTCTTTCGGTGCTTCCCGATAGGAAGCAGGGCTTTGCCGTGCTTCTTCCTGTATTGGTTCTGGTATTGTTTCTTCCTTGGGTTCTTCATTATCAATCTCTTTTACGACTACCTCTGTCATATATTAATATTATAGATAATTTTTTATACTTTCAAAATCTCGTGCCTCAAATACGGTTTGTTCAATCCTTCCAGTTTGAAGGTTCTGTTTCCGACATCATCGTATTCTATCTTGACAATTTTGTAGGATTGATTGCTCCATTTTGAGTTATACTCCTTCCTCTCGGTGTAGTTGTCTTTTTTCTTCTCAAAGACCTTGACCATATCATTCACTTTGACCTCTGGATATTTGCGAGTGTTCTTTTCCCTCCTTGTCAAATTCACCCTGACGTCCATATGGTTCTTGTCGTCGTGGGCATCCTTGGGTTTCATTTTGGTGGATGAATGGACGGTGTCGTTGTATTTATCTAACGCTTTGGACAACATTACAGTCCAACTACCGCGATTAAACCTCACCCTGTCGTGTATCATATTCTTCATTGTCCTTATGAAACGCTCCACAACATTGGCGTGAGTTAGGGTGACGACGTGAGTGATGCCTTCTTTCTCAAAGAACTCTTTTACCCCTGCTTGGAAGGCACGGTCATTATCACTATAAACGGACATTGGAAAACCCATTTTGTTGAAACTCTCTTTCATCGCCGACAATGTGATTGGTCCGGATTTTTCTTTCATAGGGACGACGTTTGCCAACTTGCTGAAGATGTCAATGACCACCAACCCATATCTCGGTTCATCGTTCTTGATGGGAATTTTCGTCTCTGGTTCTTTGGTAAGGGGTTTCATATCCATTATGTCAATCTGATATTCAAACCTTGCGAAGGGTGCGGTGTAGGAGTTTGACCCCCTGTATTTTCTAATCTGTTTGTTGGGCTGTTTCCTCATAAAGTTTTCCACATCCACCCTGTTGATGGTCTGGTCTTGCTCCTTGGCTTTCTTAAGGGTCTCATTGATTGAACCGAAGCCCGTTTCAAGATTATAATAGACATTGCTTATGATGTCATCTCTTGATAGTCTCCTTGCCATATATTATAATATTAGATTTTTAAAATTATCAACAATAAAAAATATACTTAAAGAAAAAATACCTATATATAGTAAGACTAAATAAGATGACTAAATTTGACTGTGGATGTCGTATAATGACAGATGTTATAACCCTGAACGATAGAAACCAACCTAATTGGAACTACTTGCTCAAAACCTTCGTGAATGTGTGTGGCAAGTGCTACAAGAAGCAAATGAAATTCCAATATATGGAAAACAAACTTATGGAAATGGAAAAGCAAAGAATGGAAATGTTTTTGGAAAATGAGGATGAGGAGGAAGACACATACTTTGACCTGACAGAGTTGAAGGAACATCTCAAAACCCCCCCACCCAATGAAAGACATAAAGTGAAGGATTTTGAGAGGTTAAGAAACCTCGCCAATGGACAAGACCCCAACGAAGGAATGAGTGAAATAGATATGGTCATAAGAGAACTGGAAGAGGAGGAAAGGGAAAATAAAAACCAACCCGAGCCCGAAAACTGAACGAGCCCCCCAAAAACTACTTAAAGAAAAATTACCTATATATAGTAAGAGGATGCTATTTACCTATAACAAACTGTGGATGTTGTAAAAAAGAAATGACTGACATTAAGGTTTTATTGAACAACATTTTTCCTGCTGGAATTTGTGATGAGATATGTGATTACAACCTTCACTGTTCAAAATGTAAAGAGTTGAATGATAAGGAACGCAGATATATAACATTCAACTATCATTTTGACCATTTTGAAGAGAAAGAACTAACAAGAGTTGAAAAACAAATACATTTCTTTAAAACAAGGATGGAAAATCACCTATCTATTTATCCAACACCGACCGAACAAATGTAAGAGTAATGAAGAGAGAAATAGACGCTTTAATGGACACCTATAAACTGAAGGTAGAATTTCAAAAAAATAAGATATATCTTCAAGCGATTAAGTCTTATGTCAAAAACCATTGGAAATACACTTATCATATTCTAAAGAACTTTCACGACCTTAATTTCATCAATTACAGTAAGCAACGAAGATGCTGGTGGTTTCCTAATGTTGAACGAACTTTTATGTTTAGAAACAGGGAGTTCAAGATAAAAGACATTTTGGAAATTTTCTTGCGTGAATATGTTGAAGAACTGTTCAACGGTTATGAGAAATATTTGAACATAGAAGAAATAAAAGAGCACCTACAAAAAGTGATAAATACTTAAAGAAAAAATATCTATATATAGTAAGAGAAAATGAGTAGAGCAAAAATTGAGGTTATAGATACAGGGAATATTGGTATATATGCTGACTTTGGTAGTGATAGTGAGGACGATGATTGGGAAAGAAAACAAATAGAAAAAGAAGATGAAGAGATTAGAGACTTTGTAAAGTGCCATCCTATGCCTTCACCAGATGATGAGGAAGGAGAAAAGTTTTGGAAGAAAGTAATTGATAGGATGAAATCAGGGGAAGGGGTAAAGGATATGACGATATATATGTTTGTAAATTTTGACATTATGAAAAAGATGTATGAAAACCTGACTGATAAAAAAAAACATCATTGATTGTGGAAAGGAACTCAACCGTGATGGTGAATTCAACGCAATGATTATTAACATAACTCTTTTATCAATAGCGATGGATGAACTGAATGATACAAACAAACCCTGCTTAACACAAATGAGAGTGATTGAACACTGGTGGGATGGAATAGGAAAGTGGAAAGCATAAATGATTAATTCATAATATCTTAACAACACATATTATGAAGTAATCACCCACCCAAACACAAACAAAAACCCCAACAGCCTAAACAAATCCTACCCCCATTCAATCCAAACATTGACACATCACTTTAGCAACAAAATTACCCCCAAAACCCCACCTGAACAAACATCAAAGGCGAAGATGAAACATTGAACCCCAACACAAAATCATAACAAGCAACATACAAACATATACGCCCTGAAACCCCCATTTTTCCATTTTTTCCCAGCCATCTAATCGGGCGGAAGCATCCGACGCGATGGCACTGGCAGCTATCCTAGCTTGCCGTCTTTTGTGCCTTTCACACGGAAATTTACCAGAGGGTAATGAGTATGCGTATGATATTTAACATTCTAACAATATAGTTCACCATTATATGTTGGATGTATATGTATTGAGTTTATCCATTCTGGATATAACTACAGTATTTGAAATGGTTTATGATTTTTATGTTGGATGTATGGTCTATTCATTAGGTTTTAGAAACCTAAGGTTTATACCTCGGGCCACCTTGTATCAATAACATTGGGTGAAACAAAACCTGTGGCATTCATGAGGTCTATAGTCTGTAGTCAACTATAGTATTCATGGGTATAGTAGCCACATTCATCGTTCACAGCCACATATGTCGTAAATAACCCCAGCCAAAAATCCCACAAACATCAGGTGCCTCACCAAACGTAAGTGAGGCTTTTCGCCTAGCGAGACGTACAACTTTATGTTCGCGGACGTCCAAAGCTCTGATACTTGGACGAGTTCGACCTATTCGAAGCAACGAACATGGGGGGTGAAGCAACTAATCTGGGGATGACAACAAGGATTTTATCCATTGGCCATCGGATGCAAAAAACAACCTAAATATGAGCATGTGGCCAAACATGACTGGTTGGTGGTTTGGAACATTGCTTATTTTCCATTTCATATACGGGATGTCATCCCAACCCCATTGACGTTCACTCATATTTTTCAAGATGGTTATTGCACCAGCAACCAGATAGCCCATACTATTAACCATTATTAACCACTATTAACCATTATTGTTGGAATAGATTCACCAACCAAGATGGTTATTGCACCACCAACCAGATGATGATGATTTTGGGATGTCACCAATCAATTGGGATGTCAAGCCGACTAAGTTGATAGCCCACTCATGGCCACGGCTGTGGATCTTCGGTGTGACCCCGGATGCTTAGCATATCTTAACATGTTCTGATTGCTATTTGAAATTAACAACTATATAGACTATATATATATATATACACAGTATATACATACATGACCTGTATTCTACTTAGGAAGTGCATTCCACTTAGTAAGCTAGAAAAATGGTCAGCAGATGTTGATAGCCCCATTTTTTTTACTCGGAGATCTCCGATCTATCGGATGCATGACATCCTCTCCAGTTGCGTTGTTCTTCCCAGCGATTTGATGTACATAAACCCAACGTTTCGGAAGGTCGGTTTAGAACTATACTTGGTGGCTCATCCCACGGCTCGTAAGTGGGTTATAACCCCTGTTATAAGTGGATTAACCCTACTTATCCCATTTATAACTGGGGTTATAACCCACTTACTAAGTGGGATGAGCCACCAAGTAAGATATTGTGAATGTTCATGAGATGAATGTTCATGAGATACATCTATATACAGAATATGTGATACATTATAGTTCTTATATAACACTTCAGTGGTATGTTTTTTTGTAGCAGTGACTCAGTGACGATCTTCTGCTGCAAGGTGTGCACCTTCCAAAATTTCCTGCACGCCTTTGCACTGCTGCCACAGTGACTTTTTGGCAGCTCTGGGGATCCAATGGGATCCCATGGGACCCCTGGGGTGGACCCCTGGGGTGAAAAATGTCTCCCAGCTGTCAGTTGATCCATTAGCCTCTGGTAAACGTTTACATAGCTCTTGATAGCATGGTGATTTAGTTCGTGGATTTACCCATTGATAGCATGGTGATTTTCCATTGTTATGTTAGACCAGAGGGTATATCCCATAATATATCCATTATGCCACAATATTGTCATATTCAAATCCCCATTAGTTCCCATCAATCACCAATTATGTGTATAAGATGTACAATGTGGGGCCCCCGTTAACGAAATCGCTAAGTTGGTGAACATAACTCCAATAACTATGGTTTATGATACTCAATAACTATAGTTCATGGGGTTTATAAACCAATTTATAACTGGGGGGGCCCACATTGTGTGATTTTTGGGGAAATGGCTATAAATGGCTCCTTGCGGTTTAACCATAGAGTTTTGCCAGAAAATTTGTTTGTCTATGAGTCTATTACTACGACGATGACTACGATGACCGAACACTAATACTAACACTAATACGAACGTCAATAATAAGCTGGCTGGTGGTTTGGAATATTTTTTATTTTTCCATATAATATTGGGAATGATAATCACAACTGACTTTCATATTTTTCAGAGGGGTAGGTATACCACCAACCAGCTAGTCCATACTACTCCGCTAGAAACGGGTATTTCTGCAGAGTATTCCAGATTAGCCATGTCTTTAGGTGCCTGATATTATGGGGTTACAAGTGAGAAAGTCATGTTTCAAGGAACGGAAATGGTTGTAATGTCAACCCCGGATTTTGCTAAACCATGGTTTATTAATTAGGGGTGTACTCCCCAAATAGTCATTTCATTTGATACTTTTTCATGGTATCCCCCCAATTCAACAACCTATATAGGGGTTTAGTAATCCAGCGTTGACATTAGTTGGATTCCTATGAATAATAACAATCATTGACCATTATTAACCATTATTAACCATTATTAACCATCATATAACCATTATATTACCATAGTTATACCCATAGTTATACCCAGACGGTTGAAACAGGTGACAGCCTCTGAAGAGTATGAGAGCCAACATGGAGAATTCGACCAAGATAGGCTAGGAAACCATAAACTATGTGATGCCCAAAACTACTTAAGTTGTTTTAGGACACCCATAAACTATATTCCATATATATATATATATACATATATATATATACATATACACATATATATATATATACACATACATACACCATATATGATAAACTCTATAAACCTCCATTATACTTATGTTTACCACTAACTTAGCTAGCCATGGGATTGGTATTTGGGAGGACATGAAACAAATGAAGCAGTCCGTTCAGTAAGAACCTCACTGGCTGATAATGAGTTTTGGAGAACTCACCAAACATGTACTAACTCCTAGCGGGATTCGGGATGAGAATTTGCATCGAACACCTTCAGGATGGTGCCCCCCAGTTAGAAGTTGGTCTATAAACCCCATGAATACATATGAATACTATAGTTATATCTACCATAAACCACAGAATTCAGCCGCTTATGAGGCAACTGAACGCTATCTTGGGGGCCCATCCTGTTGGAAAGTTGAAACGGTTGGCACATCAACACACCCGCCCACACGTGCTCGCCACTATTTTTGGCTGGAAAGTATTACTTGTATTGTGGCTGGTGCCCATGGAGAAGTGAGAGAAGATCTGGAGTATTCATGAATATTAGCCATAAACATCTAATAAGCATCTATAATCCAAGTATGGGATGCCACCTTGTTTGATGTTCTAGTGTGTCAACCCTTGTCCTTGGGAAAATAGACTGACCCATGTTTTTTTGGTTGCTGGGAGGACCTCCCACCTCGAACCTTACAATGTAATTGTTTGAGTTTCACATTTGAATTGGACAAGAATATGGGAAATCTCCAGGAAGTAGCGCAGATGAGTAGAATCTCTTTGAATCTTCGAGGCTTAAAGAAAATTATGTGGATGTCAAAGATACAGTGTTTGGTTTGGCCCTTCTTGTGCCCTAAAATCTGGACGGTGCTGAGGGTTCCCCAAGGAAGAAAAGCCAAACATTTGCCACTATTCCCTTGGTTTTCCCGTTTCTGTTGTGCAATTATACGCAGGCCCCATAGTCTATTTTGTTTTTGTCACTATCGGATATTTTTGTTTGTATCTCCCTTTTATTGGTATTCCCTTTTCGGTTGTTAAAGATGGTTATGGTAAACACATTCCCATTTCTGACTGTTGTTTGAATCTTCCCACTAGCTGGTTTTATCCCTTTCATTGCTCGTTGTATCAGGTAGAAACTAATCCTTTAGTTGTTTGCTATAAATGAAAATAACCATCAACAGCCAAAAGATAGTTTTTTTTTGTGGACTACCAAGCATTGACCATGCATATGCTTGACAGATTTCACCAGCTTTCCTCTGACGAAATTATCTCAAACCCAATCCCCAGTTAGAAGTTGGTTTAGTTTCACCCCATTAACTACAAGTATATCAACCATCGTGTTTAGTTTTATCACTTTACAACCAATTTAGTTAAGTAAATCCCATGCCCATCAAATCTCATTAAAACCCAGCGAGTAAATCTCACTCACTCACCGTGAAAACGCTAGCTATTGGTACCATGGGATGAGCATCCTGAACATCCTGAACCATGTGGGACATGTGGGATGAGCATGGTTGGTGGGTTGATGACATGGTGGGTTGATCTCACATGGGATTCCCTATCGGCCCTATCAGTAGCGAAGATGAATAGATTCCCGCCATAGGGTCAATGGGAATTTCAGGAACCGATTGATTGGAGGTACCGATTCCATATATTTTTGGCCTATTTTTCAGGCCTAAATTTCAGGGGATATCCCCACAAAATATGGCCAGAAATATGGTACTAACGTACCTCCATGTATTGGATCCTGGAGATCTCCCATTGATAACCATCATTAACCATTATTAACCATCATTAATCACTATTAATAATGATTATTAACCATCCATTAACCATCCTAGGGTGGGTTGATTCCCATGTAGGATGAACCTGTGACAGCGTTTTTGCCTGTGGCCCCGAGGCTGGTCTTGTGCCGTCGCAAACACTTCGTCTCCCCGGCAGCACTGCGCTTCCTGGTGCTGTCCCTTGGATCCCTTGGACGAGTCCCTCAAAGAACTTGGGGAAATATTGGGTTTATGGTGGTTATATATATATAACTATAATGGTTTATGGTGTTTATAAACCAATAATATATGGGTTTATGGTTTTTGATCTTATGTATATATATATATATATTACATCCGTATGATAGCTATAGTTAATTCATGTTTTTTTTATTTATTGGAATTGTTTATACCATCTATTTATGGTGTTGGGGGATATCACTGAAGTATTAGAGATGGTTTCTGTTTTTTTTGTTGGATGATATGGTGGATATAAGGTATATTTTTTTCAATGGTGGATATAACATGATATAGATACTGTGGGTAAAACACTAAACCATCCCCCAGTCATCACCATTTTTACCCGTCACATGACATAGTCAATTCATGTTAATTCATTGGGTGAAACTAAACCCAGAACACACAACTTGAGCGGCTCACCTTGTAGGCTTTAACCATCAAAAACTGGAGGGGTGGTACCATGTAAACTTGGTGGTTAAGCAGCAAACAATAGCAAACATAGGGCGGTACCATCTGGGAAAACCTTGGATGCGGTTACCATCTGGTTATTTAACATAGCCATGGAACATGGCCCATAGAAATAGATGCTTTACCTATTAAACATGGTGATTTTCCATGGCTATGTGAGTCATAACCAGGTGGTATATACGGCAGCAGCATCAAAATTTGAAGAGTGTTCAATGATCCGGTTGATAATTGCAAGGGGGTTTTACTACCCAGGTACCAGTTCTATCTATCATGATCCACTATGGTAATCCCTATCAACCAACCTTTATAGCCAGCAAAAAGTCTGGGGGTATATCTGGAAAACTGTCTGGATGGTGAGTGTGATCCCTCCTTGTGAGTTGGTTGCCTACCTACAGATGTATCGAGCAGAAATCCAAGTAAATCTGTTCATACATGGTTTCAGCATGATTTAGCTAATCACTTAGCATCATAATTAAGTTTGAAACATGTTGTGGTAGGATGCCTAGGAGCCAGTTTCTGCGTATACCATAGTATACCCCATCTTCCAGCTTGCACCTTCACGAATCTCCACCATTGTTGGTTGTATCCGTCGAAAAAAAACATGATACAAGGTGAGACCCACCCAGTTATGTTTGTGGGTTTAGTTTCACCCCCATGAACATTATAGCATATATTAGCATATAATCCGGTTGGTGGTTTGGAACATGAATTTTATGAATTTCCATATATTGGGAAGAATAATCCCAACTGACTTTCATATTTTTCAGAGGGGTAGGTATACCACCAACCAGATATATGTATATATACATTGATGGTTAGCTGGATAAGTTAGTACATTCTACCAGTGAATATGGGTGAATATTGGTTGATTGAATCGTTCTATCCACCAAAAACTACCCTCTGGTAAACGTTGACAAAAAACTATGGACACTCACCATGCTATTAATGGGTAGTATCAACTATGTCTATGACCATTTTCAATAGCTATGCTTGACATAACCAGAGGGTAACCATTCGCTAATTCCTGCGTTAATTCCTGCGCTATCTAAATATCTGATATGAATCCCATGAATCATATATCAGAATCGACAAAAGGTCACTCTCGACTGGATGCTTTTTGAGTTTCTAAAAACCTAACTCGTCTGACTTGGTATCAACGGGATTTTCCGAAAAAAATCTTTGATTGTCTTAGAATATCCGATAAACGATAGTTTCTTTTGGGATTATCTACTTACGTTCACCAGCTAAGATTTTTTCTTTTTTTGAAGGGTATCTGGCTGATTGGCCATGGTTGTGGGTAAAATGATTCCGTAAAACCATATAAAACCAGCCATGAATGGTAAGCATACTACAGTTATGGCCATTTGCCAGTTATAACTGGCTATAAATGGGATTATACATTCTATAAATGGGGTTTTGTTAGTACTTATAACTGATAAATGGCCAATCAACCAATGTTCACCCATATTCACTGGTCGAATGTACCGACTTCGCTGGTAGAATCAACCAACTTATCCATCTAATGCATTTCTAATGCCATCTGATTGAAACCCCCTATATATAAAAATGATGACTGGGAGATGGTTGAAATCGCCGTATATTTTGTTTTTTTGCTGCTGAGGCTTGGCACGAAACATCTCTATGAGTTCATCACCGATCCTCGGCGGGGGCTTCTGACAAAAAGGGGATTTCTCATGGAAAACCATAGGAAAATGGTGATTTAATGAGGGTTTATGGTGGTTTAATGGGATTTAATGGGATTTAATGGGATTTAATGGGATTTAATGGGATTTACCCTCTGGTAATTTAACATAACTATGGAAAGATCCACCATTTTTAATGGGAAAACTCACTCTTTCAATGGCAATTTTTAATAGCTATGTTAAATTACCAGAGGGTATCATATGACATGAGAGTTTATCCATGGGCTTGTAAGCCAGTTTATGATAGTTTATGATTTATGATAGTTTGTGATAGTTTATATCATGCATAAGTATTATTTGATGGGGTTGCAAGCCAGTTCATAAGATAGGAACCTCGCAAATTAAGTATGCGTTTTATTGGGAAACCATCCGAATTTGCTCAAGAAACTGGGCGTTGACATGTGATCTATGACTGGTTGGTGGTTTGGAACATGATTTTTTCAATGACTTTCCATTCAGTTGGGAATGTCATCATCCCAACTGACGAACTCCATCATTTTTCAGAGGGGTAGGTATACCACCAACCAGATGAATATTTCTGAGAAGTAAGTTGGTGTATTAGTTCTGGTTGGTGGTTTGGAAAAATTTGGTATTTTTCAATATATTGGGAATAATCATCCCAACTGACTAATATTTTTAAGAGGGGTTGAAACCACCAACCAGAATTGCTCTTGGAATTTCTGGTGGATGCATCATGATATCTCCAAAAATGCTCGCTGAGCGGGGCCGCCTTGGGGCCACGTGCCGGCGCACAGGCAAGGCTGGCAATAGGCCACTGTTCGTAATGGTTGGGCGACTGTTCAATGGCCTATAACCCACCACCACAACAACAATACAGGCATAAGGGCGATCATCTAGAATCTAGTCGGCTGTGTTGGTTTATGACTAAGATGACCCTGATGATCATTCGTCAACGATTATAATGATCATGATTTATAACTAAAATGGTGGTCATGATAAGTTTATGATCATCTAGTCTTGTAACCCTGATCTAAGACAAATTTGTGCAAGCAGCTCATGCAGTTCCTGGCATTTCGGCCGATGGGAAGCTTGCCACTTCCAGCTATTCGCATGCCCCTGACGATGCCTATGCCATTTGTGCCAATGGGCCCACTTCCTAAAGCCAAGGCTCCAAAACTAGACATGGAAAGAAACTAACATCATAGCATTCCAAGTGATTCTGGCTTCCCTGAACAAAAATGGCGACAAACAAATTATGGGGGTTTCATACTCCTTTTCAGAGATGTATTCTAATGTATAGAGGAACAATCATTTGGGTGCATAGTTTCAATCAGAATGCCTCCTGGTCATCTTCTTGACTTCCTGAAAATGGCTGAGTGCTGGTGGCTTTGTTATTGGGGCCTTCAGTCCAAATACCATGTGGTTGTGTTCGAAAGGACTCCGTTATACACCCCATTTGTGCTATTTTACAGGGGGAACATGATGATACACATGATAATAAACATGTTTTTCATAGCCAATAAATAGCGACTTTATACTGGGGAACCTTTGGCTCCGACAATGGAACATGGCTAAGGATGCCTATGTGTCCTACCAGCATTATCAGAGGCGCCCAAACAGTCCTGGGATGTGGCAGGAAAGTGCTTGGTCGCCCCAAATACCCGGCCTGGTTATGTCAAAATAGCTATTGAACATGGCCCAGTCGAAATCGTGGATTTATCCATTGATAGCATGGTGAAATGGTGGATCTTTCCATCGTTTTTTGTTAACGTTTACCAGGCCGGGGAGCTCCAATTCTGTCCATCCCAAAATGGATCTGCATCGTCACAGGGGTTCCAGTCTTGGAGCCGGCTTGCAGGACATCCCAAAACATGTTTTACTATCTACCCTCTGGTAAACATACAAAAAACTATGGAAAATCACCATTTTCAACTGGAAAATCAACTATTTCTATGGCCATGTTCAATAGCTATGTCAGTTTACCAGAGGGTACCCCTCTGTTTGTTTCATATAGCTATGGAAAATGGATGAAAATGTCGCATTTACAGATGATTTTCCCAGCTATAAAGCTGCATTTATAATGGATTTTCCATAGCTATGTTAAATTACCAGATGTTATATGCTTTCAAAGCATGGTTCGATGGGCGGCAAATTATATTGAATTCACCCGCTGACCTCACCCGAAAAATGATGCTTCGTGCATGGGGGGAATGAGCATCCGAACTAGTAGGTCAGAACTCCAGTTGTAAGTAGAAAAAATATAGTACAGTATATATTACCTAAACTACCTGGAGTCATAACTCATTGTATATATATATATGGGTAAATTATGAGAGTTTCCATCCATGATGAGAGGTATGCTCAGCTGCCTATCATG